CAATGTCGGCCTATAAAATGCTGCGGGGGCCACATAAAATGAGCGGGCCTTGAGTTTGACACATGTGCTTTAGGGGATTGTGAAGCAATGCCCACTCAAGGCCCATTTAGCTGTTACATCTATTACAATAAATGAGTTTCACTTTTCTGAAATAAGTTCTGATTTATTGGAAATGTACTTGAAGATCAGACCGTGATTGTAAAAGTTTTGTTTAAGTGGATAATTCAAAAAGAAACAAAAAAGATTGAACAGGTGTCGCTTTTGCAGTCATTAGCAACAACTCACCAGCAGGTGGCAGTATCACACAGTGGATTACATTCGATGTATAGGGTAAATGTTTTATGTCATTCATTTTTAGTACAAAAATTACTAGAGGGCCACTGTGGTGCCAGTTTTTTTTCCATGTGATAATAGAACAAAAGAATGAAACAAAAAGAATAAAAAATAAAAACTCCAGCAAAACTACAGGTGAGACCATTACAAATAAAACCATTAAAGAGATATAAATTATGTTTAAGTGACTAATTGGGGAAAATGAGGAGCAGATGTCCAGGTGTGTGATGATTAATTTTCTAAAAAAAAAAGTAATGATTGAGCAGTCAACAAGGGTCTGAAATATTGACCCTCTGAAGTGATTACTTGTTAATTAATTTCAGTTTATGGTCAAATCACAACAAATGTGATCTCAAGGATTTTTACAAAGCAAAAGATCCAGCTGAAACAAATTCAAATACACTCAAAATATTTAAGTAATATTTCACCCGATACTGTGGAAAGGAATATGATTTACATGGGAGACAGACAAATTATCTTAACGTTGGCTTAACCTAAAGATAAACTTTTATAGGTAGCAATAACAAAAATACTTTCAGTCAAATTTAATTTATTTGAATTTATTTAATTTATTTGACCACATTATTGTTTTTGTGATTAATATAGATTGAATGTGTTTGTCGGAAGAGCAAACTTTCATTATGATAAGTAATTAATAATCAACTTTTTATGAATAGTGGCAACATTAGAACGAGAGACAGTATTACTAAAAGTGATAGAGGAAATGTGAAATACACAAGAAAAATAAATATCTGTGTTGCTTTTAAACTTTTCTGTGGAAATTACTCTGTGTTCTGAAATAGCATTGTTGATAAAGTAGGATGATGCTAATCAGACTGCCAGTCTGTTACAGTAAATTTTTGATTATTTTATTAAATCCTAATTTATTGTTATATGTTTTTTTTATGTCGGATGTTATGTTATTCAACTTTTTCCTAGTTATTCGTTTTTATACCGTGACATTTACCTTAGAGGGTGACAGGAATTATAACGGAAAGACGCATTTACTCAAAAATATGAATCATCGTTTTACGCAGGCGCAGAAATGATCGCCGAACAGCGACTGCAACAATTTCCGATAATTACCTCTCTAAAACCGGAACTTGGTTGTTTGAATTTCAAAATAAATGCACAGATCGTAGTTTGAAACTTTGTAAAAGCGCCCTACATTTTTCTGTGTTATTGTATGGTTTTCATTACGCTTAGTAAATTATTTTCAAACCCAATATTGATAGCAAAGCGAAAGCAGATGTGTGGGGTATGAGTTCCTTGATCTTAATTTGAGCTTTCCACCGGAAGTAGCTGTGAGTTCCTTGCCCTTATTTGACGCGGTACTTGAGAGTAATTCAGAGTTTGAGGCGAGTACGGCTGCCAGGCACCGGTAAGTAAATAAGTCTTAATCTTTGTGATAATTTGAGCTTTTTAGGCATGTCGCTTAATGAAAAATGTGTTATTTTTCAGGATTACCGACCACTTCTGACTGTTAGCTCGTTTTTCCTTGGACAGACTCGCCTCTTGACAGTCAGTGACTGCCACACATGCATGGAGTAATCCCCCAACAGTAGCACCACCAGCGGATGAACCGGCTTTGTTTTCTGCCTTGTTGAACAGGTAATGTAAAGAAAGGTGGGGTGAGAGAGGACAAAGTCTCTGGAGATGGTCAAATTAGTTTTTGAGGGATTAATTAGCGGTGATGGTAATGAATTTAGTGATGGTAGCAGTTAGCAGCAGGGAGCTGACAGCAGCTGCAACCACGAGGGTCGTGTTAATGAGGCAATAAAATTAAACTTTAATGTTTCCCTTGTTTCTCAATAAAGCAGAGGGGAGTGGTCAGGGTTTACTCAGCGTTCATTCATCATGGCTGAGTGGAGCAAGAGCAGCTTTGGTATTTAAGAGCGTTTCCATTTGGAAATATCAGCGCTCTGACAAATAGTTTCCAAAAACGTGAAGACATCTCAATAAAACCATAAAAGCTCCTGCTCACAGAAGGGGAAAATTTAAAAAGGGCTTGTCAGACGCCTGGCAAAATTGCAATGCCGCATTTCCCTCCTTATTTCCGCCTTTTGTTAGATTCCAAATCCAAATTTCGACATATTTTACTGCGAATTTTATGTCATAGCCAAACTCAGTGACGTCACTAAGAATATTTTAGAGCGACTGAAGCCTCCCTAAAATATTCTCAGCCCCTCCCTCTAAATAACTTGGTAATTTTGGTTATTTATTTACTTATTTTAACAAAAACTGCCAACAAATTATCTAATATAATGTGGTTAGACTGAGTTTACATAAAATAAAGTATAACTTCTAATTCAAATATTGTCAACTTCATAAAACGATGGCCTAAGTATTTTTCTTTTGCCAAGGGATTGTTTTCTTTTTCTTTTTTAAAACCCCCCCCAAAAAAACAACAAATTACCACCTCTTTCTTTCCAAGACATGTTTTGGGGGGGAAAACATCCACTTTTGTCAAAATAAGACTTGAGCCATTATTTTTATAAAGCTGATGATATGATCATAAATCTGTTCCCGTTTACTTCACGTTTATAATATTCTGTGCAATCGGTGTAAAATATGGCTAGAATTACTCAGTTATGTTATGCAAAGAGTATCTAAAATTTTAGATGCCAATAATCAATTGTAGAACCACAGAAAATTATAATTATCTTATGGCTGGAATTGCTCAGAAGGCATGCAATTCAAATATAGAATTGTTAATCATCACAGCTGTTCTTGGGCGGGATTAGAACTACGTACTTTGAAACTTTCACTTTGTATTACGCTTCATATGAGCTCCTTCAAAAACACAGATGTCTGATAATGTGTAATAAATGCAACGGTAGCAGCAGCCAGTTGTTGATACATTTTCTATTGTGCCTGGACTGTGGAAGGAAGTTAAAACTATTGATAGTGGTTCTTTTGCTCTGGTCCATTTGTAAAAAAAATAAATAAATAAATGAAATGAAACGGAGTGCAACACTGTTTTCAATAGAAATCACAGCTAACTGGTCACACCTCTATTATTTGATCAAGCATTAGTTAGTAGCTTAAAGCAAACTTCAAATCTTACTAATGCACTTTTTAAAATTAAATATCTAAAATTAATAGTGGCTGTTCCTGCCAAACCGCCTGTCCTGATTCTTCCTCTCCATCCTCACACCTTTATTTATTTATTTTTTTTAAAGCATTTTGTTGCTGCCTTTTCACCGGGACTCGTTTGGAAAAATACGTTTTTAATCTAAATGAGTTATTATCCTGGTAAAAACAAAAATTCACTTGCTTAGCCTTTCCTCTGCCTACATCTCCCAGAATGCTGTGCGATTCTAGATTGTATTCTATATATTGAATATTCAATCAGATGTGTAATCTGTTGATACGGATCATGTCTCTTTTGTAATTATATATTATTGATTGATTTATTGTCCAGTTTCGGCGTGTTTTTATGTGATTTTTGGCCTCCTAGTTTTGCCATTGCAGCCACTTTGCGTTGGAATAATAAACGTCGGGAGGACGTGGCATCTGGCGGGACAGAGGAAGGATGTGCCTTTTCTGCTGACTCACCGTTTTCATCTGCATATGATCTGCAGGTTATCTGAGATGACTACTCACTTTGAGGACAAGCTGAGATGCCGGATTAAGGGATTATCTTTCCTAGCAGCTGTTAAATCTAACTGAAACGAATTACTGTAACATTTTTACCCTAAAAAGCACCTCAGTGATGCTATAGCCATTATGACCTTGAAAATCCCTGAAAAATGAGACAAAACTTCAAATTGACTCCTTTTGTTTGTTATTGTGAGGTGCTTAAATTTATCTGATGAATCCGTCTCGGCTCTTGAGTATAACACACAGATTTATTTAACATATTAATCAGCTTTTGTTTCACCTACTTAAAACCCAAACAGTTGAGCAGGACGTCTTCACATTCCTGTTGTGAATTGCTTGTTCATGCAGAAAAGAAGGAAGGAGGAAAAAGCCTGATAAGCATTTTTTCTTCTTTTAAACCAGGCTCTCTGTTTTTTATGTGTATTTTACTCTCAAAGCCTCCAATTTTCTATAAATATATGTAGCCTTAAAGTTAAACACTATTATTTTAGTCCTGTTTACTATCTAAAGCTGTGGAGCTCTACTCAATTTAAATCCCATTCTTTTGCAAACAGAGCGCTGCTGGTTTGCGTATCTCCAACCCAGAATATAATCACTCAAACTGACTCCCAGGGAAAATATAAACGACCTTTTTATCACAGAGACTTTAGGGTCAAATAGTAGGACTTTGTTTTGTTTGTGTGAGAATGCATCCAGTCTGGGGTTTCTGCAACGGAGAGAAAAGTCTCACTCTTTTTTGCAATTTGTTGCAGCCACACCCTGAAACTGTCGCTCGATGGGTGCGCTCTCAGGGGAACCTAATGAAAGGCCGGACTGTCTTGACTCAATTTTCTTGCATTGTTGTGTATTTTAAAACCTCGTTATTATAGCATTAGTGCTGAATTACTGCTAAAAATGAAAATTTTTGTCTCCTTGTCTGTTCTGTTCACGGCTCAAATGACAGTGAAACAGTCGGATTGTTATGCATTCGTCTGTGCTGGATGTTTGGATTTATTATCCGATTACTGCTGATATTTAAGAAGTGGCTGATCAATATGCTAAGAAGCATATTGATCAGCCACTTCTGCTGCACTCTCTCTCATGCTGATTAAACCCACAGATTTTCTAAAAGCATAATAATATTGTCCCTGCGTAAAAATAACCAGGTCAGTAGTTTTTCTGTCCACTTATTTGGTATTGTTTCATGTGTTTTAGTATTTATTTTCCCTTGAGTGAAAACTATATTGGGCAGAAAGTGATAGCAGGTCTTAAAACTTTTAGAGGAACTAAATATGAAGAACATAAAATGTGACATTGAGGAAGAGGCTTCATTGCCATACATACCAGGGTTATTTATTTATTTATTTATTTAATTTTATTTTAAAAGCTGTAAGCTGAGAACATCCCGTTATTTACAAACACATCTTTTTTTAGTTATTTCACAACTAATTTTAATTAGTTTCAGCCCTTACATAAATTATGATTAGTGACAATTAACTGGATAAACATTTTGGCACATTCTACAAATTTTCATTTCATTTAACCACTTCAGTTTTTTTAATGATTAGAAATGCATTAAAAGGTGCAAATTAATTTTTTTTAAATAAGAAAATAAACATTTTGTTGCCTAAATTGCAATAACAGAATTTCTTTAGTAAATTTGAAATAAATGAAGCTTAGACTTTTTCACTGGGAGTTTTGACTAAAATATATTTACAGATGATTCTTTTAATCTTAAAATTATATTTTATACAGTTTTGAATTAATTACTGCTTTTTCCCCCAGTAAATTTCCTTTTTTTGCATCTACATACTCTAGTTGATAATTAATCGATTAGTATTCCAATAATCTATTCATCAGGATGAATGCAAATCGTTTAATTTCTAATTTTAATTAGTATTTTAATGTGGTAAACATGATGGAAGTGGAAAAGAAAGTATGCATGTTTTTATTTATTTATTTTGTTTGCTTCAGTTCACTCAGACTGGTTTGAGAACATCCATCATCAATTTTCAGGTCCTTCTCTGGACTTTGACTGGGCCATTCTAGCATAAACATGGTTTAATCTATATGATGATGGCTAAATTCTGGTGTCCTGCTGCAACAGTTAAACTAATGGCTGAATTACTGTATCAGTACGTTATCAATTTTTGCAGAGGTAGTGAGGAATGTGTTTCTGCACACGCAGTGTTTTCCATAAAGACCAAAACGTTTGTCTCCTTAGACCAGAGGATCTTCTGTTTTCTACGTCCCTACATGAGTTTCAGAAATCTGCAAGTGAATCTTCTTATGAAATCCCTTTTCCTACCCCTCCTGTTCTGTCAGGCTTTTTCCATTTTTCAGATTGAACCGTTTTCTGCAAGATGTTCAAAGCTTGGGATGGTGTTTTATAACCTAACCCTTCTTTAAAACGGTATCTTTGAGCTGCCTGCTGTGTTCCTTTGCCTTAATTTAAAGCAAAGGACTGGAAGGACAAACTTGTTTTTCCTTCTACTTGTTTTTTTACAACTTGGGCAACATAAAACAGGAGATCTAAGTGACATTAGTACTGGTCTTTGTGTTTTTAGGGGTCGAGAAGGAGATCATTAACTAAGCTTTAGTTTCTTGCCCGCTTCATTGACCACAGTGACTGCTTTGCACCATCAAAACTCTCTCCAAGCTTTTCTGTGTTTTGATGAAATGACTCGGCAAAAATCTGTTGAAGACTTTGCCGTCTCTCAGTTGCATTCATCCATGCAACAACGGTTAAATATGCCAAGTAAGGGCATTTATGACATGATGTTTACTAGCCATTAAACTAAAGATGACCTATTATGCTTCCCTGAACAAGTTAGGATTGGTCTATTGGCTATAAAAAACATGTTCATGTTTTTTTTTTTTTGGGGGGGGGGGGGGGCATGAAATCATTGTTAGATAATGATCTTAGTCTAAGTTTGGACTATTTTGAGCTCCTTTCAGAATGAGATGTTTTGGGGCCTCTTGTCACTTTAACTCCAAATAAGCTGCTGACCACACTCCCCCCCCCCCAA